AATTATGCAGATGTAATTCTCTACCCTTTGAAGACACAGAGTGTGAGAGACTCCTGTCTGTGCGGGAAAGATGAAGCAGGTTACAGACATCACTTGCCCTCAGCTCAGAGCCTGCAGAGACTCCCTATTGCCTGAAGAGGCAAATACGCATTGCTCAGAATGGGCGAGAGCCCACGGGCTGGCCTCATCTGCCTCTGTTCCCCTGCTCGAGCCCTGTGCCCTAGCCAGTGGGACACCTGCCTTGTCCTGTGTGTGGACCTTGTTTCTCTCAGTTCTCCAAGGCTCCCTGACTCGGCACCATCACCCAGTCAGGACCAAGTGTTTCTCGTGGCATGGTTCTAGTGTCTTCTGTATAACTCTGTTTTGGCCCCGCCCTTGAGGCTCTTGTTGCCTGTTTGGCATTGGGAGCGCACTGTCTGGTCTTGTCCTGCCGTTTGGCTGTGAGGCCCCCCGCCCCCCTGCCTGCGCTGCTCCGGCATACGGAAGGAAGCCTTCAGTAAGCGATGGCCGGTGGTGGTGACAGGCAGTGTAGGAGAGAAAGATGCTGGGTGAACTGGAGGTTATTTAGACCCTGTGTGCTTCGCTGTGTTGGGGATGATGGTATTGGCTTCTCTGGAGGAGAAGAGCTAGAGAGGAAAGGCCACAGCTTTGTTCTACCTTCCCCTGATTTCCAAAATACCACTTCATCATGTCCTGTCATACTGTAGAAACTGCAGTGGCTCCCCATTGCTTTTAGAATCAAATGTTAGGTTAACCTTTAGGCCTGTATACCTTTCCACTCTTATCTCCTGGTGCTTTTTAGCCGGCCATGCCCATTCACAGTTTCTCATACATGTGGGGATTTTGTCCTTGGCTCCCTTTACCCCCTTTAGCCCTTTGCTCCATCCTAAGCCCTTTTCCCTTTCAGGGACCACAGAGGAGCGTTTAACAGTAGCATGGAGTTTGGGAAAGGCTTCACCAAACCAGGGCTTGAGAGGTTGGAAGAATTTGCCAGGCAAAGGAAGGAAGGGATAGAGTTGAAAGGTATAGCGCAGGGGTGCCTGGGTGGCTCAGTCGTTTGAGCATCTGCCTCTTGATTTCAGCTCAGGTCATGATTGCAGCGAGGTTGTGAGATCGAGCCCTGTGAAGGACTCTGTGCTCAGTGTGGAGTCTGCTTGGGATTCTCTCTCTCCTCCTCCCTCTGCCCCTCCTCCCCACCTTGCTTGCGTGTTTGCTCTCAAAAAAAAAAAAAAGGTATAGTATATGCAGATAAATTGGGGTGAAAGAGTGTGGCAGAGTTTGAGAATGGCACTCCTTTGGCACCTCGTCTAGAGTATGAGTTGGGGGGGACCTTAGTAAGCATTGCATGCAACCTCTCCCCTCCCCTTGCCCGATAAAGGAGTCCCTTCTGTAACATCCTGGACAGCTGTGTGGTGAGTCTGTTAACAGTATCAGTGAACTTGCTGTTTTGTATGTCTACCTGTTTCACTGTTCTTCAGCCTGAGTTTCAGACTTGGGCTCTGGGGTCAAACTGCATGTGGGAAAATCCTGGTTCCACCGTCCTCAAGCCGTGTGATTAGCTCACACAACCACTCTGCATCTCAGCTGTCTCTCCTAAAAGATGCGCATGATAACGGTAGCCACCCTGTGTAGTTAGCATGAGGATTCGACGAGTTAGTGCGCGTAGAGCTCCTAGAACAGTGCCTGTCACACCCTTGCTGCTGTTAGTGGTGTTCTGCTCTGTTGCTCCGGCCCTGCCCTAGGAGGGCTTACTCCGTCTTCTGACAGCCCTTTCAGACGTGGAGGTAGCACGGTCTCACAGGTGGGTCAACTGAGGCCGTAAGTGCAGAGGTGAGCCTCAGCCAGCCAGTGGCAGGACTGGGACCAGCTCCACATCTCTTACGCAGCTTGTTTCTCCCAGGTTGAACCAGTGTGTCCAGCCTTTGTATGAAGCCCCATGCATGCGTTCTGCTGCTCTGTGCCCCCGTTCTGGTCTGTGAGGATTTTGGCACATTCTCATGTGTACCGTGGTCTTGATCCCACAGGTGGTTAAGGAGGTTAAGCAGGAATGGTCTGAGCGTTGTCCCGTGTTGCCCTTGGGCTGGGGCAAATGGATGGAAATCTGCAGTCGACCAGTCTACTTCTCTCTCTTGTCTGCAAGGTGGATCAATAATGGCCTTCTAACGAGATTGTAATAACAGTTCTTTGCAGTTTACTAGGCATAGTCTTGTTTGTGAGACCTTCGAGTCTTCACAACAAGCTATGAGGAAAGGTTGGACAGGAAGAGGGGTTGAGACTTAGGGGCCCAGAGTCTTGTCCCGGGTCTCACAGAGAAGTGGTGAATTTGGCGCCATCCTTGCATCCACACTTCCCCTTAGTCTGACTGTGTTACACTTTTTATCTCTTACATGCTGCGTGCAGAGGGCCTGCACTTGGGTGCTGCCCGAATGGTTATGGTGTAGATGGCAAAGCACATAAGTGGGTGTGGTAGGAAGAGGCCTGAATCAGGAGAGGAGGAGGAAGATACAGCGGCCAGGTTACTGTCTGCATGGAGATGGGTGTTAGCTCCTTGGAAATAGGGGGCATTGCTTTGTTTTTAGAGAGAAGGTCAACTTGCTTCACTTTGCACAGTTAGGGCCAGACCCACTGTATTCAGTTGGGTTTGGGGCCCCATGTTCCAGGCTGTAGAGTTTCAAACTGTTGGGAATCTGGTGAGTGTTAACTTGCATGTGAAACATGAAAGAGAATAGAATGGAATAGAAAAGATCAGGGTACGTTGTATCTGATAAGAAAGTATTACATTGTTTCATGAGACTTTTATATCAGTATCGCAGAAATGTATTTCTATTTTATTTTATTTTATTTATTTGACAGAGAGAGAGAGAGAGAGAGATCACAGGCAGGGGGAGTGGCAGAGGGAGAGGGAGAAGCAGGCTCCCCGCGGAGCAGGGAGCCTGACACAGGGCTTGATCCCAGGACCCTGGGGTCATGACCTGAGCCGAAGGCAGATGCTTCACCGACTGAGCCATGCCCCTGAAATGTATTTCTTTCCTTTTTTTTTTTTTTTTTTAAAGATTTTATTTATTTGACAGAGAGGCACAGCGAGAGAGAGGGAACACAGAGGGGAGGGGGAGGGGCAGAGGGAGAAGCAGGCTTCCTGCGGAGCAGGGAGCCTGATGTGGGGTGACAAGGACCCTGGGATCATGACCTGAGCCGAAGGCAGATGCTTCACCGACTGAGCCACCCAGGCGCCCCCCGAGATGTATTTCTTACAGTGGATCAGCCAGTGAGACTTGAGACGCACTGCTCTGAGGTTATGTCAAACTGGAGGGTCCCAGAGGGGACAGCCAGCATGGGAATGAGACTAAAGCCATAGCAGATAGAGAACTGGCTGAGGGAGACTCAGGGCCTGTTGACCACCATGTTTAGTGATCCGTGGGCTGTTTTGGGGCAGAGGGATCAGATGTGTTCTGAAGCGCCCCATAGGTGGTGACATTAGGGAGACACATTTCCATTCATTATACAGAGAAGAGAGTTGTTGCTGTCAGAACTGGTCAAAAGAGATGAGCTTCCCATCACCAATGTGTGTCACAGAGACACTGGAGAAGGAGTTCAAGCCATGTGAAGGCATGTATGTTAAGAGATTGGTAGGTCCATTCCAATTTGAGAGTTTAAATAGATCTGGAATGATCAGTCTTCTCCTCCCTTAATATTCTCCAGTGGCCTCCTGGTACCCTTACTATGCGATGGAGCTCCTCAGCCTGATGGGCCAGGCTCTCTCTATTCTGACTTCTGTCTCTTCGTCTGCTGCCCTGCCTCCGAGCCACACCAAGCAGGAGAGTCCTCGAGGTCATCCATGCACTCTGTGTCCATGCTCACATTCTGGCCCCTCTACGTAGGATGGCTGCCTCATCTCCACATGCTTACAAATTCCTAGTTACTCATTAAAGCTCAGTGCAGGGGTGGTTTTCTCAGGGCCATTTCCCCCGAACGTCCCAGTCCCTTTTGGGCTTCTGGCCTCTGGAGTGTCTGTTAGCTTCTGGCATAGTGGCACATAGTGTAGGATCCCAAATCATACCACGATTCAAATCCAAGTACCATTATTTACTGGTACTAACCTTGTGACCTTGAACAAAATACTTCACCTCTCTGTCCCTCACTAGTAAAAGGGTAGTACCTACCTTTAGGGTTGTTGCGGAAAATAGGAGTTGACCCAGCTGAGGTGCTTGGAGCTCTGCCTGGTGCTTAGTAAATACTCAGTAAATGTTAGGTACTGTAGTTGTTTATGCTGTAGTTCTGTTGTGATAATCATTACACATCACATTGCTACTGTTGGTTTGCACATCCGTCTTTTCCAAGGCTGTGAGGATTTTGGAGGGCAAGGACTGTGCCCTGTTCATTTTAACATGCGCAGAGCCGAGCGCATTCGGGTGTATAGTGGCTGCTTATCAGAGGGTGTTGAGTGAGTGCGTGAGCAAACTGGATTCTGTGAAGTCCTGTAAAACAAGCTAGGTGTTAAGTGTTGGATTTGAAAACCTGTACGTTTCTTTAAAGACAATTTCCAAGCGTGGGAAGTTATATATTTATTTGGTGAAGCTGTTAGCAATGCTGTTCAGATTTTTTTTCACCCAATATGTTTGTTTTTGTTTGTTTGAAAATTCTTTTTATTGTATTCATTAACTATTGATAGATCAACAGAATCTTTTTTTATAATTTTAATGTAATTTATTTTTTTTAATAAAGATTTCACCTATTTATTTCAGAGAGAGAGAATGAGTGGGGAGGGGCAGAGGGACAAGGAGACTTGCCACTGAGCAGGGAGCCCGATGCGGGGCTTGATCCCAGGACCCGGAGATCATGACCCCAGCTGAAGTCAGACGCCCGACCGACTGAGCCACCCAGGCAGTCCACGAGGCTCCTGCTAAAAGCAGTGGTCCTCCGTGCTCCCGCCCAGGGTTGCCGTCACTCCTCAGCTCCTGCAGCTGGCTCATGAGTGGTTTACCTGTGTATCGCCAGGCAGCATGTGTACATTCCTTCATGAGTTTCCAGTTTTAGACTTTGTTCTATTCCCGCTGCAGAAGGTGAGTCCTCAGTTGACTTTCCCCTTCCTGTCCGGGCCCGCATCCACGCATCTCCTTTCCTCCCTGCAGATCCTTTCATCTTGGTGTGGAGGTTATTACGGGCGTGTAAATCCTGTACGTGGCTGAGCCATGCAGCGCTCCACGACTGCGACCCCTTTCTTACACAGCTTTGTATTTTCTCTGAGGTTAACAACAGAGTTGGTACTGTTCTTGTGCTTACTTTTATGTTCTTCTGTCATTAATTTAACCCCAGATTCTCTGCCACTTGCCTGAATCTCTTGCAACACATTGGCTGTGTTCAGGCACACGGGAATTCCATCGGACTCACCTTCTCAAGAACCCTCTGATCCGCTTCATTCTGGACCTGGTGTTCTTTAGGTTGTTGGCATCTCCAGCAGCCGGGGATTCATTTTCTCTCTAGGTTGGACCCCATTCTTCCCCTTTCTTGGCCTATTCGGTTTTCTGGTGAGCGCACCCTCTAGGAGCTTTCTGAATAAGGGAGCATTAACTAGTTTATTTTTTGAGAGCCTTGCATGTGTGAGAATGTCTTTTTCCACTCTCTCACAGTTGGTGGTATTTTGACTGTGTATTAACTACTGGGTTAGAGAGAGTTCCCCCAGAATGTTGAAGGCCCTGCTCCTATTCCAGCTCACTGTGTAACTGCTGAATCAGCCTCTGATTCCTGACCTCTGACATGGACACTGTGTCTTCTCCCTGGAAGTAGGAACTTCTCTTTCCTCTCCGTGTTATGAAATCTCAATACGATGTGCTTTTATTCACTGCGGAGGGTATTCAGCCTCTTCAGTTTCAAAACTCATGTCCTTCAGTTGGAAGAGATTATCTTGGACCGTAAGAATTGTCATTTCCCTCCCTCCTGTTTCTGTTTCCTTCTCTGGGACTTGTAGTATTTGGGTATTGGATTCCTGGACTGGTCTCCCGTTTCTTTTCCTCTTGCCTTGCCTGGTTTCCATCACTTTGTCTTTTGCTCTAGTCTCTGGGCACTAGTCAATTTATCTTCCAGCCTTTTGAGATTTATCTTCCCAAATCTATTGTTGAGATTTTCACCCTGTTCTTCACCCTGAAAGCTCATGCTTCTGCATCCATCCTCACGGGCAGTGTCTTCTCTCCACCACGATCTCTTTCCTCTGATCCCTTCCATTTCATTTCTTTTTGGTGGGGAGCTTCCAGACCCAACGCAGCTTCCTGACTGGGTCTAATCAGAAAAGAACAGGGTGATATTTTCTCTCCTTTTGAACATCATCCTTTGAGTGGTGTAGCCTTTGATCCTGTCATTTTTTTGGATAATATTGTCAGGTTGAGGAAATGCAAAGAGAATGCTTTGTCTTTCCCTCACACATTGCTCTAAACTCTGTCCCCCAGCCTGCATTTATGCCCATGGTTTTTGGACCTGAGTGTAGGAATTTGCTATGTTCCTTTTAAACACTGTGTTTAGAGGTCTGTGGTGGAAATCGGGGTACTCGTGTCAGTCATGAAACCTCAGTGGGACATCTCCATATTCCACAAAGAGGGAAATAAGGAAAAGGCAGGAGTTTTAAGGGAGAGAGAGGATTACTTAGAAAAGAAGGTGGGAGAATCCTGAAGTATTTCATGGTGAGGGATGTCTGTGAGTGAGTGAATCAGCAGGAAGAGAGAAGCCACTGATCCGGGAGGGACTGAGATCTGGGGAGAGAGGGCAGTCACCAGGTGAGGAGAGTCTTGTAGAACATGGGAGGAGCCGGTGTCAGGGACACAGGAGAGGGTGATGAGGCGGGTTCAAAAGCAGTCTAATGTGCTTTCATTGTATTGGACTCTGTTCAGATGCCGCTTAGTCCAGACAGCAGCCTGTGAGTTTGGTAATATTTGCTCCATCTTTCAGATCAAGGAGCTAAGGCTTCTGGAGGTAAAGGAATGCGTGGGTAGTCATATAGCCGGTTAGTGACAGAGCAGCATTCAAACCAAATCCCACACTGTACCCACTTCCCCAGATGGCCCAGTACTGGCAGGGAGCAAGCTCGATTATGGCTAAAGGTTAGTGAAAACAGAGCGGTGGCATAGATAAGTATCCAGTTAGGTCTTGTGTCCAAAGAGTGTTTGAAAGGAAAAGCCCTGCTAAACCTGAGGTGCTACTCTGAGCCCAGTCTCCCCCTCTAGCTTTCTATCTGGCTCTCTCTAACTTGCTGAAAAATGTTGCACTGCTTGCTTCCTGAAGTTATTTGGGAGAAGGGGATTAATCTCTTGAAAGAGAGAGGAGATGATAAAATTGTGTGTATATGAAGTAGTACTTGTACACATACATTCTGCGAAGCACAGTGAGTTACCGTCCTGAATTTGGTTGTTCTCTGGATGATGCACATGGACCCTTTGCCCAACTGCCACAGGGCACTGCCGGCAACAGAGTGTCCAGATCTGGAACAGATGTGATTATATTGCATCTCTTGTGTTGTAGGCCTTTGCCCAGTTTGACGCAGAGGGCGATGGTACCGTCGATGCTGAGAACATGTTGGAGGCCCTCAAGAACTCCAGTGGAGCTAATCTCCAGGGGGAATTAAGCCACATCATCAGACAGCTGCAGGCCTGTTCTCTTGTCCCAGGTAAGGCTCTCACCTGAGTGCTGAAGGCCAGAGAGTGCTAGCGTAGGGCCAGGTTGAACTTTGCTGTCCTATGGGTTGTAATTAGGTAAGGGGAGGGCCCCGTGAGATAAATGTGCTTCTCCAGGAGTCTCTGTTAAGCACAGGAACTGACTCAGTCTGTGCAGTCATCTCCTTGGGTCCCCAGGACCGTGATGCTTGAGCAGTTCTACCATTTTTGTGAACTTTTGTTGTGAGCCTACCTTCCTTAGTGGATCTCTTTATTTCAGTCTCTCAAGAAGCTGTCCCTGGCTCCTGGTTCTCTTAGCATTGTGCATTTGTCTTTTGCCTCATGTCACCACTGTGATTAATTAATTACCCACTTATCTGTAAATGTCTGTCTTTACTCCTACACTGTGAGCTCCATGAGGATAGCGGCCTTTTCTTTCTGCTGTGTCCTCACATTTAACACATTTTGGGTATATGGTAGGCACCCAGTGGGTTTTTTTGTTTGTTTGTTTTGTTTTACTAGAAAGCTGTCGCTCAGAAATTTAAGTAATAGTATAAGTAGCGTACAAATTAAGCAATACTTCTTCTACATTGTACCTATGAACAAACTTTGTGTTTTTGTATGGTTTCTTCTGGGGACTCAGAAGACAGATTCAAAGTTAAATTACCCTCCTTTTTTTCCAGTGAGAAAACAATTGAGTTTTTGAGAGGAAAAAACTTTGCATATCACCCTTTTAGCCTCAGCTTATCTCAGAACTTTCCTGCTCTGCATTCGGGGTCCTACTACTTAGCACGGAGCCTGGCAAGAACAGCGGTGGAGGCAGGTAGACTTGGTAGATACGTAGATGTGAATCTGATGGCCCTTGACCTCTCTGGCTCAATGCGGAGGCTGTGCTGAGCTAGGGAAGGATGACGTTTGTGTATTAGTGAAGAATGCACATTTTCATTCTTCCTTAAGTTGTCTTTAATTATGTCATCTTTATAGAGCGTTGTAAGTAGTCCAGACATGTGAACTTTTTCCTACTCTCACGGCAGTTAAAATTATGCTTTGGATTATGTTTAGCTAAAGTATATCTTGGCATTTACGTATTGCTCCCGCTTTTGCACTACCAGCACATGGGAAGCATCAGGAGCTTTACGTGGACACCTCAAACAGATGTTTGGGAGGGGAGGGATGGGGTGGAGATCAGGGAACCCACCCAAGATAATACTTACTGCATTGTTGCTCTGGGGAGATTAGGTGAGAAAAACGCGGGGTTCGGATCCCGAGGTGTTTATGTACCAGAGCTGTGACTGGGACGTTCTTGTCAAAATTTTCTGTCACCGCTCAGTTTAAAAGAAATTGCTTTATTGCAGTCCTAGCCTGAACCTTGGTAAGCTGGGCTAGCTTGGCTCCTGGGATTTGTTTCCTCGTCCCTCTTTCCAGCCGAGATTGGAACTTGTCCCTTTCTTACCCTATCGTGCTGGTGCTCAGTGTTTGCCAGACTTGTATGACTTCCCATTAGAAGAGGCTGTCTTTGTTCTCCCATGCGTCCTGAGCACACGGGTGCTCCATCAGCCATGTCCTCACGTGAAGGTGGGGCTGCTGTGGGGTCTGCCAACGGGAGAAGAACTGTATGAGGAGGGTGAGGGGTGGCACGGACTTTTGAGTCTTGGGGAAATTGAACTGGTGTCTCCAGGGTTTGCCTGGGCGGGGCGCGTCATCAAAATGGGGTGCTTCCGACACACAGTCTCTCCTCAGCCTCATGTTCTATCTTGAAAGTCAGTGCGAAGTCTCATTCTAGAATATAACCTGTGTGTTTTACACTTAAAGTAATTTCTCCTAAGACTTCTGGAGCCTTGTTCCAGGTGCTGCTTCGATGGGGTGTTCTGTTTGTGAAAGCTCATCAAGCGGTACCCTTGTACTGTAGGTGCTTTTCGTTAGGTCTGTCGCGACTCATTAGAAAGCACACAGAAGAGAAGTGCCCCCAAACCTACAAGTGTATTTGAGCTCCAAGAAAAGCTGTTGCGTTTACACTCTCCCTTCTTCACACTGGGTCATGGGTACCTTGGTTCCAGGCATATGTATTGTCGGTTATGATGGGTCATGAAAGGGTTTTAAACGGGTAGACGTTGTGTTTGTAGGATTACTTGGGTTAATGCCAGACAAAGGGCAGCCAGGAGAGCCACTCAGGAAATCTGGGTGGGTCAGTGTGAACAGGAGATGTTGAGGCCAGGGCCTGGGCAGTGGCCAGAGGGATGGGCAGAGTGGGCAGACTCCAGGGAGCCGCCCTGGAGAGAACGTGGAGCCCGGGAGGAGCACCTGGGGCAGAGCCTTGTGCATTGTGAGATGCTGCCGGGGACTATGGTCAGGGTGGTGGCTGCATCATCATTATCGTGATCTCATGTAGCTTAGTATATAAAAGCAGTTACACTTTTACTTTCTAATGTGATAAACTTGATTCCTAGTCCACATTCTATATACAAAATTGTATAAAAACTTCTGGTCAGTATTTCAGTGCTTATACATTTTTTAAAGCTTGGATTGAAACAAATAATCATTTATTGTAAGTCTTCTAAAATTCTATTAAACTAAAATGAAATTAAAATTTTTTAAGATTTTATTTTGAAGTAGTCTCAACAACCCAACATGGGGCTCAAACTCACAACCCTAAGATCAAGAGGCTCATGCTCCACCAACTGAGCCAGCCAGGTGCCCCAAAATTAATGTTTAAATTGAGGTTACCACTGGTTCATTTCTCATTTCTTTTCTTGTCTTTTTTTTTTTTTTTTTTTAAATAGGCTCCATGCTGGGCCTATTGGAACTTGTCCCTTTAAATAAATAAATAAAACTTGTCCCAAATAAATAAATAAAATCTTTTTTAAAAAAACTGAAAATATCAGTGAAGGTTTTTTTTTTTTTTTAAGATTGTAATTTATTTTTCAACAGAGAGAGAGACAGAGAGAGAGGGAACACAGGCAGGGGGAGTGGGAGAGGGAGAAGCAGGCTTCGTGAGGAGCAGGGAGCCCAGTGTGGGGCTCCATCCCAAGATCCTGGGATCATGACCTGAGCCGAAGGCAGACGCTCAACGACTGAGCCACCCAGGCGCCCTCAATGAAGATTCTTAATGGCTGCTTTTAATTCAGCCAATTCAGAGAGGCCACCAGGCAGGGGGTGTGGGAACACTATTGTGGTGGGTTCCTAAAAACCAAAAATGGGTTTTGTCTGCCTAGGTTTCATAGACATCTTTTCAGAGTCCAAGGAGGGCCTGGGTGTGCACGCATCCCTGATCCTGCGCTTCCTACACCGCAACCGGCTCTCCGGCACGGCTGTCCCCTGCCCCATGCTGGACCACTGCGGGAACGTGTGCTCCATGAGGGCTTCCGTTCTGAAGGAGTCCTTGGATCAGCTGCTCCAGAGAGAAAAGGGTACGTGTACCCACGTGGTGGGGGCTCCTCAACACGTTCCACATGCTGTAGCAGCCAGCCCTTCTCCCTGCCTTCATCTCTGAAAGCCAGCCTGCCTGCTTTCCCTCCTTCCTTCCCTCCTTCCCTCCTCCCTCCCTTCCCTTCCCCTTCCCCTTCCCCGTCCCCCTTCCCTTCCCTCCTTCCCGCCTTCCTTCCTTCCCACAACTGGCCTCTCGTCGTTCAGGTCTCATTACTTCATCTAATTAACGCCCCCCATTCCCCATCACTCCCCCTTCTGGTCACCATCACCTTTGTAGGTTTAATGTTCTAAATGGCACTTATTATTTGAAATTGTAACATTATTATTTCTCTCCGTTTTGTCTGCCTTGTTCGTGTCATTATCCTTAGCACTCGAAACTCTGCCTGCCACATAGTAGGTACTCTGTGAGTAGTAGGTGAGTCAAGGAGGAAAGCCACCACACACAGTGTGGACTCACTCAGGTCCATGGAACACAGAGTCCGGAAAGAGACTCAAGTGCGTGTGGGAATACAGTACCAGATAGAGTCAGCATTACAAATGGATGGAAAGGTGAATTAAGTCAACAAGTGAGGTCAGGGCAACTGGCCAGCCATTTGGAGAAAAAAATAAAACCAGATTCTTAACCCATTCCATTCACTGAAACAAATTTCAGGTGGATCGAAAAGTTCAACTGTAAAGAAACTGAAGTGCTGGAAGAGAGTAGTCCCACTCTGCACAGCTCCTGCCACAGGGACCTGGCTAAGCAAGATGTGAGACTCAGAAACTGTCAGAGATTAATAAATTAGACTTTATGCAAACTGAAAGGTCTGTATAGCAGAAAATAGAAGCAGAGTCAAAAGACGAATGAGGGCGCCTGGGTGGCTCAGTCGGTTAAGCGACTGCCTTCGGCTCAGGTCATGATCCTGGAGTCCTGGGATCGAGTCCCACATCTGGCTCCCTGCTCCGAGGGGAGTCTGCTTCTTCCTCTGACCCTCCTCCTCTCATGCTCTCTCTCTCTCTCTCTCAAATAAATAAATAAAATCTTTAAAAAAAAAAAAAGACGAATGATATCCTAGGGAACAAAAATATATTTTGTAACGTGTTAGGACAGACTGAATTTTTTTTACTAACTCTAACCTTGGGCACTTACTTAACTCTGTGCCTTGGTTTCCTCGTCTCTGAACTGAATTAGTACGTAGAAAACATACAGAGAAGTGCCCGGCTCACAGTACACAGCACCTGTTACGTGTGTGCAGATCTACGTCCTGTGACATACAAACCGGCGAGAAGGCTTGGGACCCAGCAGAAAGTTAGATGAGGGTAGGATGGGGCCGCTCTCAAAACACAGGTGGCTTACAAAGTCTCACACATATTTAAAGAAATGTCCACTGAAACTGTAAGATACCCTTTTCTTCTCTTAGTGTGGTTTTGCAAATATATCAATGAATTAAGTATTTTACTATAGTGAGCTCATGGAGCAACCCTTGGCCAATTTCTGCTTTATAAGGGTTTTTTGGAAGGAGATTTTAAGGAATACTTATTTTTCTAGGACCAAAGCACCAAGCATATTTATGTTAGATATTTTAAATGACCCTTTATTTCTCTTTGTGAAAGAGATGTCATGTGATAGAACCTGGTTTTCCCTGCAGAAAGTCCTGGAGATCTAACCAGAAGCCCAGAGATGGACAAACTTAAGTCAGTAGCAAAGTGCTACGCTTACATAGAAGCATCCTCCAACCCGGCAGACATCGACAAGATGACAAATGGAGAAACGTCCTCCTACTGGCAGTCAGATGGCAGTGCCCGCTCACACTGGATTCGGTGGGTGCTAGAACAGCGGTTGGTGAGAGCCCAGAAAAGGACCTGCTTGCTTTCTCGTACCTCATCAGTGTGGTCACAAATTAGCTTCTGAAGTTTAGAATGTTTTCTACTTCCCTGCCTGGTTGTTTTCTTATTGGAAGTGACTATCTGTGGAGACGTCTGAAGAATCAAGTAAAAAGAATTACATGAAATCATGCTGCCTGCTTCATGTATTCATGAACGTAGGTAGTCATTTTGCCTGCGTTGTGTATTCATGAACGTGGATAGTCATGCTCCCTGTGTCGTGTATTCGTGAACATGGGTAATTCCTGCACTTGGTACTTAAGGGAGAAAGAGTATTTGACTGATATTTTATCATACTGATTTCAGATCTTTTCCACTAGTTTCTCAGGAAAATTAACATCACAAGGGGCAAGTACTTTTCTTACATCAGATGTGATTTTACTTTTTAAGATCCTTTCTGTGCATTAAAAAAATCTGTATGCACCTCTCTTTGCCAGTTTGGCAGAGGAGGAGGGGATGGGATGAGCAGGAACCCTGGGGTAGAGTTGGCGGCCGTAAGCTGGTATTTCTAGAAGTTCTGAAGCTGCCATCTAAAGTTTCACCTGTCTCTTCAGAGAATGGGCTGATTCAATTGGTGGAAATAGAAGTAATTGTCTTGTTCTCTCACGGGGAGTATATGTGACCTTTAGCCATCTAATTTATAGAAGAGGTAATATATTCAGTTCTTCAGATGAGGTTTAGAATTTGCTTCTTGCAGGTCAAGCGGTCTTTTTAGGGTGTTCATGTTGTACTTTCCTGCCTGTACTGATGGCTTAAAGGGAAATTTAAGATTAACCTTGAACCGAGAGGAATTTAGAGACACAGGGAGGTCGTAAGGACTTTTCCAGTTGGTTGCTTTTAGGAGAGAGTGTCTGATGGGATCAAATACAAGCCTGCAGAGATGGGACTCGTGGGCGCTGCCGGCTTCGCCCCATATACACACTTGTCGTTTGTGCTCCCCGTGTTTTCCAGCTTAAAAATGAAGCCAGACGTTGTGCTCCGGCACTTGTCCATCGCGGTGGCTGCCACTGACCAGAGCTACATGCCGCAGCAGGTGACAGTAGCTGTGGGGAGAAGTGCCAGCGATCTTCAGGATGTCCGCGACGTGCACATTCCCAGCAATGTCACTGGCTATGTGACACTGCTGGAAAATGCCAACATCAGTCAGCTCTGTGAGTCAGCCAAGAGGCAGCTTGCCTTCTGATTTGGGGAGTGGGAGGGACGGAGAAGGGATCGTTTTTAGTGGGAGGACCTCTACAGTGGAGACACTGTCGGATTTTCTTGGGAGGTTTGATTTGCTTCTCATGCACATGGGAGTAGCCATTATTTCGTCTCTGTGGTGTTTCGTAGAAAGTTATAGGAGCCCTTTTTAATGAAAAATATTTTATTCTTGTTTCCTTATTAGAAAATTAGAAAAATATAGATAAACAGAAATTATTCAAAATCCCACTACCCAAGGGATTGTCACTGTGAATATGTTAGTGTGGATCCTTCCAGATCTTTGCTTGTTAGTGTGTGTGTGCGTGCGCGCGCGCGCGATCCGTGAGCGTGCACACACTCGTGGCTTAAAATAAAACGTAGCGTTGTGCATGTGTATTCACAAAATGTAACGTATCTGTATACATATTTACAAAACGGCGATAGTCTTTCCATGCTGTTGTGTAAAATGTTTTAGCGTATTGCAGACCATGTGTTCTTGCACACCTTTACTTAGAGATGTAAGAACATGCCTTAATTTTAACCAGCCCTTTATTCCTGGACATGTACGTTGTTTCCATTTTTATACTAGTATGACCTTGCTTCACACCTAGCATTTTGGAAATAATCACAATTCTGTGATTTCTTTCCAGGCTTTTTTCATTCAGGGAGCCGGGATGCTTCATGTTTTGTCTCATTTCTCCTAATGCTTTCCTGGGCCAAAAGAAGTGTCCTTACTTTGCTCAGAGGAACTGAGGCCTAGGGAGGTAGCGTCTTTGTGTCTCGTGCCTGGGCAAAGCGGTAGTTAAGCTCCTGGAGTAGACGCTCCTTTCTCTTAGCCGTGTCCTCTTCAACTTGTCACCTCCTCCTCTCCAGCCCAAACAAGGGATTGTGACAGCTCTTAAAAGGGGTCATGCCTGTGTTGTCATCTATTTGGACTTGATTATTAAACATAAATTCTCACAACTGCTGTGAGGCAGCAGCTCTTTAAATCAAAATTTCAGAACCCCAGCAAAAATTGTAGAAATTTTCTTACCATGTATTTAATCAGGATTTAAAAAATGGTCTTCGTGTTAATTTTCAAGATGCGTAAATTCCTGAGAAACTTCGTGATGGAAAGGGTTAAGCCACCCTTAAATTTACACAGTAGTCTTATGACTCCTTAGTTTGGTTGATGCTTTTCTGACAAGTTTATTATATGCCAGCTCCATTGTACACATTATTTATTTCTGGCATCAAAGTATATTTCAGAATTTTCTTTTCAAAATGTGAATTACTATTTTGCTTTTAGTTGGGAGCCTAGCATTTGCTGAACTGAAGAAGTTAATCCAATACTGAATTTGTCGTTTGCGCTTGACAGATGTCCAGATTAACATAAAACGTTGTCTTAGCGATGGATGTGACACTAGAATTCATGGTCTGAGGGCTGTTGGCTTTCAGAGAGTTAAGAAGTCTGGGGTCTCGGTGTCAGATGCTTCTGCAATCTGGTACTGGTCTCTGCTAACCTCTCTGGTGACGGCGTCCATGGAGACAAACCCCGCCTTTGTCCAGACAGTGCTGCACAACACGCAGTAAGTCGCCCTCTCTGCTTCCCCGCCCATCCAGGTGCCCCTCTTGTCCCCTCCCCCTGCAGAGCACATCCCTGAGACTCAGTGGCTCAGCCCTGGGTGCCCTGGTGTTTCCTGTCTGCGCTTTCGGCTCCAGTCTGGGGGTGGGGGTGGGGTGGGGGCGGGGACGGGTCACGCACACCGTTCTGTTCCTCGCCCACGGGGGAGCAGTTGCTCACATTCACGGATCACTTCGTATCAGATACAGCACCTTCAGATGCCGCGCATTATTTACCTCCTCCTGTTGTGAAGCGTACATGTAAACCTTATCCCCGTGTCACAGTTATCCCCGTGTCGCAGACGAGGGCTCTGTGACACTCCCCGCGGCAAGTCACTGGACTGGGCAGGGATGCACCTGTGTGAATTTAAATTTTAAAAGTTAAAAATTAAAAGACAAAACCAAAAACCTGTAGGGCAGAAAGACCCAGTGGTAACAACAGACAAAGCGGGGTAGTGACCTAGAGCCTTAGGAACTAGGAGCTACTGGTACCGTATTTGAGTTACTAATGGCGGTTCTCTGACGTCTTCCGAGAATGAAGCTTTTCAGCCGGCAGCGCTGTGGGCGGTGCCAGATGTGAAGTCCTGTTTGTCTGTACTCCTGTCTTGCTTCCTGTTTAAACATTTTTTTAAAAAATCAATTAGAAACTTAGAGAAGTATCTCAAGTACAATACAAACAACTTTATTTCCTTCTGAGCCTTTTGAGAGTAGTCTGCAGACCTGGTGCCCCATTGTCCCTGAGTACACGAGTGTGTGTTTCCTGTCAACAAGAAGGTTCCCTGGGCGCCTGGGTGGCTCAGTTGGTTAAGCGACTGCCTTCGGCTCAGGTCATGATCCTGGAGTCCCGGGATCGAGTCCCGCATCGGGCTCCCTG